CTCCTTCTCTCTCTCCATTTCTCTCTCTCTTTGCTGGGTGAGGAACACATTGTCAAAAAGCCTTTAATGTCTCTCGTTTTACTTATGAGTTTGTACTCACCAATACAGCTGCAAAAAAAGCTCCCTTGCCCGTAACATCCAGTGGCACATTGATAATGGACTTCCAAATGGTTTCTGACCAGAGCTCAGATGATGGATATTCACATGAGTTCTGTTTGCAGCACAGACCACACACATCAACATGGTCTGCAGTAGAGGCAGGGGTCCTGGACATTGCCGTGGTCTTCAGTAGCTGCATGGACCACTGACACCAACGTGGTCTCTGTCATCACCACAGATCACAGAAGACTTTTAAGGTAGTTTGATCAAGAAAATTAACTATTCTTCATCTCAGATGTCTTGTTGTGGCTCAGAGTCAGGATGATCGAGAAGTTGGGCAGTATGTCTAGCAGAAGGTGTCATAAGAGCTCCAAGAGGTGGCTTCTGTATGCTACCCTGTCCTTAGTGCTGGCTACGCTGCTGGTCTGAACAAAACTGTGTTGTGTTAACGTATGCACTTTGTCATCATCATATTCATCAACTGATGACCATCTAAGCTGATTCCATTCCTTAGCAATTGAGAATGGAACAACAACGAATGTGGGAGTTCACATACCTCTGTGGTAGAATGCAAAATCCTTTGGTCGAATGAAATAGTTCTCTCTTCAGTTTTTGGAAAAGTCTGCCTTACCACTTTACACCCTGTCTTAGGATTTCTATTGCTGTTATGAAATACCATGATAACAAGGCAAGTTGGGAAGGAAAGGGTTTATTAGGCTTATACTTCCACATTGAAGTCTATCACTGAGGGAAGCCTGGACATTAACTCAAACATGGCAGGAATCTGGAGGCAGGAGCTGACGCAGAGACCATGGAGGGCTGTTACTTACTAGATTGTTTCCCTGGCTTGTTAGGCTTATTTTCTTACAGAACCCAAGACCACCCCAGGGATAGTACCACCAGCAAAGGGCTGGGTCCTCCCCCATCAATCACTAATTAAGAAAAGAATTTACAGCTAGATATTGTGGTGGCATCATCTTTACCAAGGATCCCTCCCCTCAGATAACACATTTGTGGGTCGAGTAGACTTAAGAACAGCCTGCACACTCACACACCAATAGAAGGCAAGAATCTCCATGTTTCTACATCCTCACCAGCATTTGTTGTTTTCATGGTGGCAGCCACTCTAACTGAGGTGATATAGAATTGCATTTCATGTGACTGGAGAACTGACTCAGCGATTAAGAGCACTGAATGCTCTTTCAGAGGACCCATACTCCTAGAACCTGCATGAAGGCTCAAAATTGTTACTAACTCCATTTCTAGGCCATACAGGGCCCTTTTCACCTCCAGGCATGTGTGTGCTGCACAAACATAACTTTAGACTCATAAACACAAAATACATTTAAAAATTTTAAAACGAAATTGTATTTTATGGTGAGTAAAGGTTTTTAATATTAAAAAAACTACCCTTTTTATTTGAGAATCTCCATTCTCTTTTTTAGCAGAAAAATTAATGTCAAGTTTAGGTTTTTTTGGTTCTTTGTATGATGGATGTGAATTATTAGTCAAATGGATAGCTGATTAAGATTCTTTCCTATGCTATAGTGTGTCTCTTCAATCAAATAACAATTTCCTTTGCTGAATAGAATTGTTTTAATTTTATAAAGTTTCAATTCCCATTTTTAGCCTTAACTCCAGAATGACATGAATCCTATTAATATGTTGTACTTTCATTTTTTATCAAATTCTAGGAAATTCTAAAAAATTTACTTCTCAATTTCATCAACAATCTTTTCACCATTCTGTGGTGTGTTCTTTAATCTCTATGAATTTGTGTGCTTTCTGTGGTTGTTCTTGCTGTTGATTTCTAGTTTTTTTTTTTTAAGTTGTAGTCAGATAGAATATAAGAAGTTACATCATCTTCCTGTCATTGTTGAGACTTGCCTTCTGTCAAATAATAATGTATTCTGAATGTACTTAAGAGAAAGCTATGTGGGCTGCAGAAAAGATAATACATTCTGCAGTGCTTTAGTGCAATGTTCTGTAGGTGTAAGATGTCTTTTAACTCTGATATTTCTGCATTTATTTTTGCTATAGATGACCTGTATATTGAAATAACCCATTCCTAATAAATTGTGGTTAATATGAGGTTCAGCATATACTGGTGTAGGTTCTATGAAATTAGGGACACTTGGGTTGAGTGCATACATTATTAGAATTGTAATGTGTTATTGATGATTGTTCGCTTAGTCATGAAGAAGAGATCTTATTTTCTCTTATGAATAGTTTTGTTTTAAAGTCTATTTTGCTAAAAATGGTATTGCATTTTTCTTTCCTAGTTCTACTTGCTCTGAATTACTTTTACAGCACTCTCATTGAAGTTATTTGTCTATTTCTGATTGTGAGGTATGTTTGTCAAAGGCAGTGAATAGTGAGCCTGGTTTTCTTTTACATATTATCATATCTGTTTACCATGCATGCATGTTAGTGTGATCATGCATGTGTCACAATATGTTTGTAAAAATCAGAAGACAAATCACTACCATTGCTTACTCCCTTCTGTCTTGTGGCACACAATCTCTTGTTGTTTTGCCACTTCTGAGCGTTTCCAGGTAGCAGCTCATGATCTTCTTGGAAATTTTCATATATCTATTCCAATATTCTGGCAGGAACATTGAAATTAGATATGCATATTGCTACATGTGCCTTTCTAATGTGGATCCTGAGGATTGATTTCAGTTCATCAGGCTAGTGTGGCAAAGGGCTTTTGTCTGATGAGTCTTCCTGCCAGCTGCTGGTTGCTATTGTTTTACTTAAAAGTACACTTATTCATGCGTATGCCTATATAGGAATTTTGGGGTGAGATGCAGGTGTGGGAGTGAATATTTGTTTACCAGTGCACATGTGTGCAGGTCAGAGGAAATCATATGGATTTCAGTTGTCTCATTCCAGTATGTGTGTCTTCCACATAAAACTCAGGTTGTCAGGTTTGGTGGCAAGTATTTTATTTCACTTGTGGAACACTTTGCTGGTCACTAATTGATGGTTTTAATCAGAAAATTCTCTGTAAATATCTGTGTCCTGCTTTGATACACTAAACAGTGGGAAGACAGTGAGCCAAGGAGTTGGGTTGGAAATGCTTTGTTCACCCTAGTCAGATTCTTTTTTGAGTCAGATACATGCCATATCATACAACTGAAGTGTCAGGATATTAGGATTGCATAACCCATGCCAAACCTCTTCCTGGGAGCCACAATTGTTGGGATGCTGTGAATCTGTTACCGTGGTGATTCGCAGAAGTCCTACTCTCAGATTTTCCTTGGAAGATTAGGAGAAAATTTTTTAGTCTTTTTGTCTCTCTGGAGCAGAACTTTCTGCCTCTTGTTGGCTGACTTAGGTGGAATGCTGAAAAACTGGTCAGGTGACTGTGTCATATATGCTTTAAAAGGAGAGTGTGAAGGCAGCTATCAGTAAAACCAGCTCCAGTGCTCTTCCACAAGTTCTGAAGTAAAGTCTCCAGGACAGCAGCTCCTAGGGCCTCTGGAACGTCTGGATCATGACTATTTTGTGGCTGGTGCTGCTAGGAGGGCTGCTCACATTCTTCCTGGGAGTCTTTGTATGGGTTTTCATCCGGAACCTTCTCACTATTGAAATTCCACCTACCCTGAAGCATCCAGTCAAGTTAAGGATTTTGCATTCCATTTTTGAGTACCTGATAACTTTGGTGAGTCTTCACTTGGGTCTCAAAATGAATTGGGGGTACTCTTTGTACCTTCCTTTCCTCCTCTCATTTCTCTCTCTACATTCTCAAGATTCTTCTAAGACTGGGTTGGGAGAAGTCTCTTATATCCTACCCCTCACCTTTCTTGTCCCTTTTCCTTATTTATTTATTTATTTATTTATTTATTTATTTATTTATCTATTTAACAATTCATTCATTGCACCCTCCCATAGTTCTTCATCTCATTCCTCCTCCCACTGTTTTCTAGAGGATGTTCCTCCAACACCAGGTCTCCCCCTCTCCCTGGGGCCTCAAGTCTCTCAGTGATTAGGAACATCTTGTCCCACTGAAGTCAGACAAGACAGTCCTTTGCTATATATGTGTTTGGGGCCTTGGACTAGCTCATGTGTGGCTCAGTGGGGAGAGGAAATTCGAAGAGTCCTCCCCTCTTTTGTTTTCTATGTATTTCCCCCTCTTCTTTACTTACTCGCTTTCTTTGTTTATCTCCCTTCAACTTTCTATTTTTCTTTTTCATTGAGGTAGCAGCTCAGAATGTAATCTAGCCTGGCCTTAGCTCTATACTTGCCATCCCTACTCCATTTCCTGAGGACTGAAACTACAAAGAACATCACTACTCTTGTCTATGAGACTCTTTTCTGCAGACTAAGAAAATAATTTCAGACTAGGTTGCTGCACATTAAAACCTGATAGACCTAAAAGCACCTTCCACCGCCATCTCCACTTTCTCCATTTTTCCATGTCTTTGTCTCCAGATGATTTCCTGTCTTTCACGTAGACTGTGAGGATAGAGATTAATTTACTCAGATTTGTCTGGAATGCATTCAGACCATGCTGTGATTTGATGACATCCATGTGAGGGATTTATCCAGCACTCTAGTCTAGTTGCACTGGACAGTTGTGCTCTGAGATTGCCATCTTGATTGGGGTCAGATACATCTGGGTTGGGGACAGGGAACGACAAATGCTGAGAGGTGCAACAGCTGTGGGAAACATAGTTTGGCCTATATGAGAAGTAGGCTATAGGATTGAGTTCTGATGTCTCAATTCTAAGTGGAATCCTAGTAGTAGCCAGAAGGTTCACAGTGATTACCTCAGAAGATAGCTGAGAACTGCAGGGACAATTGTAACAAGTATTCAGCCAGGCTATCTGGGCAGCATTGCTGCTGTGTTCTCACTGACTCAATAGCCCTTGGTTAACTTCTCTTTGCTTCAGAGTTCTCATCAGATATTAAGCAATGGCATCTGAATCATCAGGTTGGTGAAAGTGATAAATGGCACTTGATAAGGCTTGATAGGATTTATAAGTGGTAAAAACTCTTGTTGCTTTCCTGTGAAGATTTTCTACCAGAAAAAATGGTCACTTTAGAGGAACAAGCAAGGATCACAGGCTAATTTGAGCTTCTGGTACTACAAATGAGGACCTTGGGTCTCTCACGGCAGAGAAATATGTGGAACCTTCCAACCTTACTGCATGAATATAGAAATAGTCCCTAAGCTAAGCACCTTCTGATGCTGGGTTGCTACTTGTGCTCCCAGAATGTGTACTCTTTGGAAAATGGTAGGCCTCCAAAGGATATCATCGAAACAGGGCATATTAAGTTGCAATAAGACTAGACACATCCCTTCACAGTAAGGCTGAACAAGGCAACCCATTTGGAAGAAAGAGGTCCCAAAAGAAGGCAAAAGACTCAGAGACAGTCTGTTACCATTTTTAGGAGTTCCAGGAAACCACCAAACTACACAACTGAAACATATATACAGACTCATACAAGATCCTTGATTGTCAAATCAGTCTCTAATAGCCCATATGAGGCCTGGTTAGTTACTTTTGTGGGTTTTTTTTTGTGGTGTCCTTGATTCTTCTCGCTCCTATAATTCTTTCTTCATCTATTCCTCACGATTCCCTGAATCTGCCTAATTTTTGGCTGTGGGTCTCTGTCTGTTCACATCAGTTGCTGGATGAAGCCTTTCTGGTGACAATTATGCTAGGCTCTGATCTATGAGTGTGTCATAGTATCATTAAGAGTAATTTCCTTGATCTCTTCCTCCATTTTGTTTTTTTTTTTTATCACAGAAGCTGTAGTGTGTTATAGTGAGTTCCACACTGTACACATCTGCCCACATAACTTTACTTGCCAATGTTCATCGCAATGAGTTATTGGTCTTGTTCAACATGTTTGGCTTCTATCACATAAATATTGGATCCTCACTGGGATACCTCGTGGTAATCCTGATGTCCTGTGTCATGGAGATCCTCCAGCTTTGGGTCAGCAGGACCAGCCTTTTTACACACTCCAACAGTTCAAAGTCCTGCATCTGTGCCTGGGTGGTAGCTGAGCTGGTCAATTACCTGACCCTCCCTTATCTGCAACATCAGGATGAGCTCTCTGGCACTGTTCCAGCTAGGCTACCCAATCCAGACATTTGCTGGAGGAAGGGTCAGATCTCTTGCCCTGATGTCCTTGGGACCAGCTCTCCCACACCCATGTCTTCAGAGCCAGCTCCTCTGTGCTGCCTAGTCAAGGCACAGGGCCCACTCTCTCAAGTGCTGTAGCTGGTGAGGTGAAAGGTTAAGTTCTCCTACTCTCACATTCTTGGTGCTGGCTCTCCTGTGCCTTCACCACTAGGGCTAGCTCCACTGTGTTGTCCAGGTTATGTGCAGGGCCTGCTCTCCTGAATGCTAGAACTAGTGAATGGCAGGGTAGCTCTCCCACTTTGACAAACACAGGGCTAGGTCTCCTGACTATAAAAGGGGGTGAGGGGTGAGTCAGGGGAGAACATCACCTTCAAACCCACTTTCCTTCATGGGAGATGAATGGTGGTGCCAACTCTTCCTGGTGCTAGGCCTTTAAGCCAGCTCACCTGTGCCCTTGCCACCAGGGTCAGCTCTACTATGCTGCTCAGGTGAGGCACAGATCACACTCTTCCCACTCTCATTATCCTGGGGCCAACTCTCCTGCCACAGGTGATGAGTGTGTGTGTGTGGCGGGGGAGGGGAATCACCATCTCTGTATTAGCACTACCTCATGGCTGAGTAGAGTCAGGGTCAGATCTTCCACACTCATGCCCTGGAGCTGGCTCACCTGTGCTCCAGCCACCAAGGCCAACTCCACTGTACTGACTGGGTGAGGTTCAGGGCCCAGTCTTCCAAGTACTGCTATTGGTTAGAGGTGGGGCCACTCTCCAGAGTGCTGCAGAGAGTGAAGGGTGGGGCTAGTTCTGCACATCCTTGGACTTCTATGTGGTCACAGATGACTGCCCAAACCATGGATGTCGCCATGGTCTACGATGGTAATGTGAGCCATGGACATCTACACTGACCCCTGATTCTGCATGGCCATGGACTAAGAAATAGACATCAGCAGCAGCATGGGCTGGGACTTCACAATAGCTTCAGGTGGCTGGGATGTCAATTCACAACAGGTTACTCCTCTCCACCCTCATATATCCAGTTTGATCTCTCTTTATAATGCTCAAACTGGTCTGCTTCTCTTTAGCTCTTATGTGTCCACCACATACTTGCGCATTGTGGTGATTACTATTTCATGAAGGCCATGTGGCTTGGATTCTGGGTGACAGCTAGCAGGCCTCTAGGTGTCTATAAGCTGCCCATGTGGCATGGCAGCAGGAAGGTCTTACTTCTCCCACACCACATGGTGGGGCAGTATTTGGTATTCTATCATGCAAGGACCACATAAGAGTAGGGCTTTTGAATACAGTTCTCCACCAGCAACACACATAGCAGCACCTTCTGGCACCATGAAATATAGCCAGTAAGGAGAGAACATCCACATCCGTCTGAGCTCTAGTTCTCTATATACTACAATGAGACCACATGGTCTTTTACCAATAGTCTTACTATCTAGGCCTGGCATGTATCCAACAACAGTGGTAAGAGCTATTATGGTTTATGGGCCTCACATGCCTCCCTGGCCAACAACTTGTAGGGAGGTAACCCAGTCCTGGAACCTGGGGTTTTTGATTTAGTGAATATGTAAGCTCTGGCGATTCCCTTTTCACCCTGCAGGTTGCCTTTTGTACTTAAGCTCTTGAACTGTTGTTTTAATAATTTATTAAAAATTCATGGGCTGGAGTGATGGCTCAGGAGTTAAGAACATTGGCTGCTCTTCCAGAGGTTCTGAGTTCAAATCCCAGCAACCACATGGTGACTCACAACTGTCTATAATGGGATCTGATGCCAACTTCTGGCATGCAGGTGTACATGCAGACAGAGCAATCATATACATAAAAATAAATAATGAAAATGAATTCATACAGGCCCAGTCAGATTGTTTCGTAGGGGGCTGTGTCATTGAACATGTTGGTGTTCAGTCCAGTTTGGCATAGTAGTTTGTAAAATGACCATTCTTGTCACTGTCGATGCTCTGTGGGTGCTCACATTTAAAAATGAGTTATGTGAGATGCTTCAAGGAGGCTTTGCTACATACAGGCTTAGATGAAAGTGCTTGCAAGAATCCTGTAATAGTGTCCACATGGGCATATTTTCATTACACCTTGAAACCCATAGGCTTTGTACAGTGTACTTGCTAGTTGTGTCTTATTTATATGCCCATCTACATTTGTTCTCCACCCTGGGCTAAAGGTGTACACAGCTGTTCTGCCTGTCCTATGATTATCTAAGATTAAAAAAACCTGACCTCAGCATTATTAAAAGTATTTTGTGTCTGTCTGTCCCAGTTCCATATTGTTCCTCTGTTTATCAAGTTAATTATACAGTGGTTGAACAACATGGCAAGGTGGGGTGTGAAAACCTGCCAGTATCTCACGAATCTGAGAATAGCTGCAACTCTTTTACATTTGTAGACACTGGGTGTTGTAGAATTTTCTCAATTACTTTGTCAGGCATCATACTTCTCTTACTGACAATAGCAAACTCCAAGTATTGTACTACAGTGCCTGGTCCTTGTACACTGTGTGGATTGTTCTCCCATCCTCCATCCATCTCATGTGTTTAGGTGCACCTGTGTGCCCTTTAGATGTTTTTCTAAATTTGTAGAACACTATGAGATTATCACTCTGACATCTAAGTCATGGAGTTGTGTTTTTGTTTTCTGGTTTGTTTTTCAGAGGATGAGTAGGACAATAAAAGGTGGTTCTGGGTCACCATCCCATGACAGATAGCAAGACTATGAAGGTTGCTGTAGGGTATGATTCTCAGGGTCTACTGTTGATGGTGCCAGGTGAGCGGAAATTGACCTTGAGATATAGGAACTAATAGAACACTAAAATGCTAAAAAATTGCAGGATAAAATCAAATAGTAGGAAAATGTTTTATCACCTGTCTTAATTATCTGGTTCTCTTATTTTGAGTCAACTCCATGGGGTCTCTGTCCACTTTCTCATCTCTGTGGGATTTATGGGACCACATCAAGATGGTTGATTTAGCTTGAGCCAAGGAGCAATAGCTATACCTATTACCGGAATTTGAGAAGTCTTTGATCAATAATGTCAGCAATGGACCATCTTATGCCTTTTGCTAGTACAAAAAGCAAACTTGCCTATGTTCTTAAGTCAGAAAATCCAGATGACTTCACTCCTCAGGAGCGTACTATGAAGATATTTATCACAGTCACCCCATACAAATTTAATACATAAAGATACCACATCAGTTCCACTAATGTTTCCTACCCCTTAACACTGGCACTAGCAATGGAATTTGAATGTGAGTTTTGATGGAGGCCTGCACTTCAATCACAGCAACATATTATTTAATCAGGATCTTTAGAGTAAAAAGCTTGAACACCCTCTTCTATCTGAAAAGTATCCACAGTCATTGATGTATACATCAATGAACTTTGCACATGTATGAAGCAGGTGAGAGATGATGAACACACCTGAGTGATGCTATGTGGCTTCAGCATCAACACACCCACCTCACACACTCCTATCCCTCAACTTTCTGTTTTTTTTTTAAACTTTCTACAGGGGACCATATTAGAGAAACTGAGAATTTGTTCTATGCCTGCAGTTATACAGTTTGTTCAAGATCTAAGAATATTAAAGAAGGATCCTAATGTGTTGGTGACTGACACTCATTTTGGGACAGTCCCTGTGAGGCTGTTCAAGCCCAAAGAAGTGTCTTCCAAACTCCGGCGAGGCATCATCTTCTATCACGGAGGAGGTGCGATATGTGGAAGTCTAAGTAAGTAGCTTTCATGTGTGGTGGAGAGGATGGTCCTCAGCAAAGGTAAGAACTTGCCAATATTCTCATGAGGACTTGTCAGGATGGAGATAAAGCAGTAGTAGTTGGGGTTTCTTTTTCTTTTTCCATTATTTAAAAAATTAAAATTTTTTTACTTATTCACTTTACATCCCGCTCACTGCCCTCCTCCCAGTCACCCTCTTCTCTGTCTCTTAGTCTCAGGAGCCAACAAATGGAAGCTAAAAACTAGCAGATAGTCTTCCTGAGACTGGTCTGCCTTAGATTAAATCTATGATGGATTTGTCCCGGTAGGCAAGGCCCAGGAGAAATCCATTTTAGGAAAGACTTCTGCTATTAATATGCTTTCCCTGTTATTATTAAATATCTATAAAATTCCCTGCCTATTAGCCCACACTTTTGAGGAGATCTCTGCAGAACAGTTAAGGTGTACTATCTTATAGTGATATTACTTAGACAAGTAGAGAATAATTCTATAGAATTCATGACTTGATTCAAATAATTTTAGGAAGAATGTTTTTAGAGATTGTCTCAGTTGCTAGATAGATGTAATAAAGTTAGAATCAAGAATAGAATGTGTCTATCCCCCAGAATAATAAGTAAAGTCTGCATAATAGGAAATACAATGAACTTTCATAATACATTAAAAAGAGAAATAGAAATAGACTTGGGATAATTTTGTATTCAAGGAAAAACATTTAGTTCCAAGGATAAAGTCACAGGCATGTACTAACATAAGTCAAGAATATGTAAAAATGATTTATTTGAACTTTTAATGAGTATATTAAAAAGAAACACTGCTTTGAACTTAATATTAACACCCTTCTATAACTCTCATTTTATATAACATTTTATCTCTGAAATAATTTTCTAAAGAACTTTTTGTGTAAGAAGGCATAGAAAGACCAGAGAAAAGAAATAAAGTTGTTGGTTGAATGGTTTGGTTGGGGAGCTTTGCCCCATCCATCCATCCATCCATCCATTCATCCCTCCATCCAAATGTAAATGTCTATTTGTCTGTCTGTCTGTCTGTCTGTCTGTCTGTCTGTCTCTCTCTCTCTGTCTGTCTATGCATAAACCTGTGGAGTTTACTGTGACAGATGGAGGGGCCCTACCAGTGTGTGTGTGTGTATTAATGTCTGAATGCATATGTGCCTGTGAATGCTTGCTTGTACAAAGCATCTTAATTCTTTTCCTTTCCTTCCTTTCTGATTCACAAAGTATTAACCAGCTTAGCCAGAGAGGCTTCTGGGTGACTCACCAAAGAAAGAAGCACTAGAAGCAAATCCTTTCACATGATTTCCTGCTATTTTATGATGAGTTGCTTTATTTTAAAGCACAAAACATTGGTCTTCTGTTCAGGATGTTGTTTCCAGTACCAATGCATTCCAGGGTACTTTCCACTTTCTCTTCTATGAGATTTAAGTATAGATCTATTTTCATTTTTCTACATGTAGACATCCAGCTAGACCAGCACCATTTGTTGAAGATGCTTTCACTTTTTTGTTGTATGTTTTTGGCTTCTTTATCAAAATCAGATATCCATAGGTATGTGGATTTATCTCTGGGTCTTTGATTCAATTCCATTGATCAATTTGTCAGTTTCTGTACCAATACCATGCAGTTTTTCTCATTATTGCTCTGTAGTACAGCTTGAGGTCAGGGATGGTGATTCCTCCTGAAGTTCTTTTATTGTTCAGAATTTTGGCTATTCTGGGTATTTTGTTTTCCCATATGAAGTTGAGAATTGCTCTTTCAAGGACTATAAAAATTGTATTGGAACTTTGATGGGGATTACATTCAATCAGTGGATTGCTTTTGGAAAGATGGCCATTTTCATTATGTTAATCCTATTGATTCATGTTCATGGAAGATCATTCCATCTTCTGATTTCTTACTCAATTTCTTTCTTCAGTGACTTGACATACTTGTCATACAGATCTTTCACTTGCTTTGTTAGAGTTACACTAAGATATTTTATATTATTCATGGCTCTTATAAAGGTGTTGTTTTCTCTAATTTCTTTGCCTGTTTATCATTTGTATAAAGGAAGGCTACAGATATCTTGAGTTAGTTTTGTATCCAGACACTTTACTGAAGTGTTTATTAGCTGTAGGTGTTTCCTTGTAGAATTTTTGGAGCTGCTTATGTATACCATCATATCATTCATAAATAGTGATACTTTGACATCTTTCTTTCCAATTTGTATCCCCTTGATTTCTTTTGGTTGTCTTAATGCTCTAGCTAGAACATCAAGTACTATATTGAATAGACAGGGAGAGAGTGGGTAGCCCAGATTTTAGTGGAAATGCTTTAAATTTCTCTCCATTTAGCTTGATGTTGGCTACTGGCTTGCTGTATATTGCTTTAGTTATGTTTAGGTATGTTACTTGTGATTTTGGTTTCTCTAATACCATTAGCATGAAGGGGTGTTGGATTTTATCAAAGTCTTTCTCAGCATCTAATGAGATAATCATGTAATTCTTTTTTTTTTAGTTCGTTTATATGGTAGATTATGTTGATGGATTTTCATATATTGAACCATTCCTGCATCCCTCAGATAAAGCCTACTTGATCTTGATGAATGATGTCTTTGATGTGTTTCTGCATTCAGTTTGCGAGTATTATATTGAGTAATTTTGCATCAGTGTTCATAAGAGAAATTGGTCTGAAGTTCTCTTTCTTTAATAAGTCTTTGTGTGTAGGTATCAGGGTTACTGTGGCCTCATAGAATGAGTTTGGCAGTGTACCTTGTGCTTCTAGTTTGAGGAATAGTTTGAGCAGCATTGGAATTAGCTCTTCTTTGAAAGTCTGGTAGAATTCTGCACAAAAATAAGTGATATCTGTCTAGAAAAATCCATTTTGTTAAGATTTTTCTAATTTTGTGGAGTATAGGTTTTTTAAAGTAAGACCTAATGACTCTTTGAATTTCCTCAGTGACAGTTGTTATATATCCCCTTTAGTTACTGATTTTTTTTTGTTTATTTGGACACTGTCTTTCTATCTCTTGGTTAATTTAGCTAAGAGCTTGTCTATCGTGTTGATTCTCTCAAAGAACCAGCTCTTGGTTTCATTGACTATATGTATTGTTTTCTTTGATTGATTTCAGCCATGACTTTGATTATTTCCTGACCTCTACCCCTCTTTGGTATGCTTGCTTTTATTTTTCTAAAGCTTTCAGGTGTACTTTGAAATTGCTGATATGAGAATTTTGTAACATCTTTATGGAGGTGCTTAGTGCTATGAAGTTTCCTCCTAGCACTGCTTTCATTGTATCCCATAAATGTGGCTATGTTGTGCCTACATTTTCATTGAATTCTAGAAAATTACAAGAAAGATAAAAATCTAGAAAGATGCAAGAAATTTTCTTGTATCTCTTGAGGCTTGCTTTGTGACTGACCATATGGTGAATGTTGGAGAAGTAATCTCCTGTAATCTGCTAGTGATGCTTGTATCTGGGTTCCTGTTCTTTTCCCTAGGTTTTCCATCTCCAGGATTTTCTCGGTTTATCTTTTCTTTATTGTTTCTATTTTCACTTTCAGGTCTTGCATGGTTTTACTTATTTCCCTCACCTGTTCAATTGTATTTTCCTGTAGGCCCTTAGGAATCTCTTGGCACTAGGTGTGATTTCTTCCTTCCTTCAACAATTATAGTAGCAGACATCTCTGTCTTTTGATAACACTCTCACATTCATGTATTTTCCTCAGCTTAGGTGGCTCATGGTATAGAAAACACACTCACTTTATCTTCTTCTTTTTTAAATCCAAAATATAGTGCACTGACTCCACTTCTCAGTTTTTGCTTTAGTGTTATCTTCCCACCAGAAGAATCCTTACAAACACACTTAAAAACTTGTCACTAGCCTTTCCCATACCTCTGAATGTCATTACTAAAATTATCACCTGTGTTTCCTTCTACCATCAATATGCTGTAACCAATGAAGTTCTCTAAAGTTCAGAGAAAGCTGTCATCACTGGGTCCATCAAGATGGCAGCTGTCTTTGAGGTGGAATGTGTTTGGTTCTTATCACAACTATTAATAGTGGGTCTTCTCTTACAGATATTTACCATGGATTGGGCATTGTTCTTGCCCGTGAGACAGACTCAGTGGTCCTGTTGGTGGGGTGAGTGGCTTGATGTATTGGGTGACTTATCAACAGAAAAGAGTGTTTGTTGGGGGATTTATTTTTGATGGAGAATGGAGACAGTTGCTCATGCACTCACACCCTGCAAAATAGCAGAATCCTGCATAGATCTTCATTGGTGTGTAGTACATGAAATAGTGTAGTAGAGAGAATATTTTACTAGAGAGCACTGTGAGCCTATGTAGAGTTACTTAGCCATAGAGTAAATAAATCTGAAGAACATACAATATCATGAAGGAAGCAACATTGTATAAAGTCATGGGTAAGCCTTAGCCAAAACCTTATACACAGGGTGAAATTTATTTGTGAAGTTAATTAAAACAAAGTGACTACTGACTTGAAATACTTATAAACCTATGAAATACTTAAGGAAGAACAGAGATGACAGATACACACTTTCCCCTGGCCTTGCTCTTAGTAGAGGAGTGGTATTAAGTTTGTCCAATGTTGTATGGTGGGTGGAGCAGGCTGAAGGTCAAGTTGAAGATGGAGGTTTCTGTGGTGATGCATTGGATGGCATTCAGTTTTCCTCTGCTGCCTTGTTCTCATCTCTACTACTGTCTGTCAGTGCTTCTGGCAGTTTCTGCAAGTCTGCCACTGTTTCTATAAAAGCCCCTGGCTGCTCATTTGCCCATCAGCCATCTTTGGTTCTCATGGTTCTAACTCCACTGCTTACATGGATATTCTTCTTCGTCTGCTATTGTTCTGCTGCTACAAGTTTGTTGTCACAGTTGCCAGTATTTGTACCTTGCTGTAACCAGATCAACTAAAAGAGCTTCCCCATGAAAGTAGGCAATAAAATACACTGAGACTGGTTGGCAGTGATTTTTATCAGAGCTCAACACATGCTCAATACATCATGGAAAGGTTATTTTCATGGAAAGGTTAGAGATGTGTCCATCAAAGTCCCAATGGCCTTGTCTGGATCTTTATTGGCTTTCATGCTTCTTAAGGCAACAGCTTTGAATTCCCCTGCTCCTATGTGCTCATCCATGAATCATGGTGTGAGATGGAATGGAAATTATCTTTACTCTAGACAGTTTTCCTCAAGTCTATGTAAAAGAAATGAGGATAGACAATTTTTATTAGGGCCATTTGGCACAACATTTTTGGCCTCATGTGATAATGCTGTTTGCAATGGTCTCCAGGGACCTGTGTGTACATAAGTATGACTTATTCACACTTTTCTCCCTAGGTACCGCAAGCTTCCTGACTATCATCATCCTATTGTTCAACTGGATTGCCTGAATGCTTCCATCCACTTCCTGAAGAACCTTCAAACCTATGGGGTAGACCCCTCCCGGGTGGTGCTCTCTGGAGAAAGTATTGGGAGTTGGGCTGTGACCATTGTCACCCAGGCTTTGGTCAGTCAAGCCATGCTTCCCCGGATCAGGGCTCAAGTTCTGATTACTCCAGGTCTACAGTGCATTAATTTCCAGTTACCATCACAACAGCAGAATCAAAATGTTCCATTGCTTACCAGAGACTTACTGATTACATTTATTTGTAGATACCTAAGCATTGACCTCTCTTGGAAAAATGCCATGTTAACAGGAGCTTGTGTGCCCCTGGACACCTGGAAAAAGTGCAGCAAGTGGGTCAGCTCCGAAAACATTCCCCAAAGATTTAAGAGCAAAAACTTCCATCTTGAGTTTCTGGGACCTTTCAATGAGACTGCCTATCTGGAAACCAAGCATATTTTGGATGCAAATATTTCACCTCTCCTAGCAGATGACAAGATTATTGCTCAACTTCCAGAGACATTTCTGGTGAGCTGTGAGCATGATATCCTCCGGGATGATGCCTTGCTGTACAAGAAGCGCTTGGAAGACCAGGGGGTCCCTGTGACCTGGTACCACGCAGAGGATGGCTTTCATGGATGCATCAGTTTGTTTGATAAGGAGCCTTTCTCTTTCCCCTGCTCCATAAATATTTTAAATGCTGTCATCAGTTACATTAAGGGTGTGTGATGGTGACTGTGATGCTTGAATGAAATAACAAAAGAATGGCTTGTACTTGGCTCTTTTATGATGAGTTTTCTTTCATTGTAGAAGGACATATTTAAACAATATGTGGTCTGAGAGAGAAGACTGAGGTAGAAGAGCAGAACCTTTGGTATTACATTGAAGGATATAAATTATATTGTTGCCCTCCAATGGAAAATGTTCCATGGTACGTCTAACTGTATCATATGCTACTATTAGGTAAAATAAACATCAAAGTGAGAAAATATGCCTGTAATTCTGATGTTCTTTCTTTACTAGAGGGTTTTCATTTACATAATGAAATTTAATTAAGAGATAAGGACAGCAAGATCAAAACAGAAACAAAACTCAAAAGAAATTTTGACATGCAGAAAGTAGTGCCGGAACAGAATACCACATTTTTAGTAACATTAGAAGAATAACTATATATTGCTATAACCGTAGACAAGAACCCTAACATGGTTTAATAGAATTAAATGCTTGAAGAAGAATTTAAGATTTCCTAAATTTAGATACAGAATTGATGCCAGTTATTGAGCTTATATGGTTATTTTTTCCTCTGTCCTCAGCTCCTGTTTAATTTCTGGCCTTATACCTTCATTAGAATATGGGAATTACTAATGAGAAGTGACATGTAGTAATTTTGTTTAACATTGGAAAATGAGTTACTCCTATCAATATAACATTTTCTAAGTCTATTCATTTTCTTGAAAATTATGTTATTCCATTTATTTTTATGGCTGAATAAAATTTGTATTATGTATGTATACAACACTTTTATTATCCATGCATCTATTGAAGTGTATCTGACCTGATATCATTTCTGTGCTATCATGAATAGAGTAGTTATTACCTTGGATCTATGGGTATCTCTGTAGAGGAATGTGGAGTTTTTTGGGTAGATGCCCAGCAATGATGTAGCTGGGTAATTCAGAAGTTCTCTTTTTAGCTTATTAATAGATCTTTGCTTTGATTTCCATAAAACCCATGCTAGTACATACTTTTCCTATCAGTGAATAAATTCCTCTTTCATCACCTACTCTTGGGATTAAGCTCTGAGCACTCAATGGCTTTCTCAGATCTAAGTTCCAACATCATTGTCCTAGGGTTTCATTACTGTGAAGACACCATGACCAAGGAAGCTTTTATAAAGGAAAACATGTAATTGGGGCTGGCTTACAGATTCAGAGATTTAATTCATTACCATTATGATGGGAAGCAAAGCAGTAACCAGGCAGACATGGTGCTGAAGATGAGAGTTCTAAATCTTGATTCACAGGTAGCAAATGAGGACTGGGTCACCCTGGCATAGCTAGAGCATATACAACCACAAAGCCCTGCCTCCATAGTGACACACTTCTTTTAACAAGATCATATCCCCTCCAATAAGGCCACAAATCATAATAATGCCACTCTATAGACTCATGGATCTATGGGGTCCCTACATATTTAAATCACCAGAGTTATTCAGCAACCTCCTGATAAGTTTTCTGAGCGATAGATGCAGGAGTTTTGATGTAAATCATCCGTTGATGCTGTGGTTCCTGTGATCTGTTGATTTCTGCATGTAGTTTTCAGGTAAATGGACAGGCCTAGAATATATTACATTGACTGAAGTGTTCCAGATACAGAAAGAGAAAAGCCAGAACTTTTCTTTAATCTACAGTACCTGGCTCCAAATTGTCAGATGTGGGTAAAGAATAAAGAATAACTACAGAAACCAACAGAGAATAAAGGGATCATAGTGGTTTGGATAGGAAAAGAATAGCAGGATTCTGGTGATATGAAGTTGGAAAAAGAATAATAGGGAGGGGGCTGCAACTAGGCAGGATGAAGGAGACCAATTCAGAAGGAGAAGTAAAGATGAGGGACAAATGACACTGAGGTTGTTTAATAAAGCCTCAAGGAAAATCATATTATTCTCTATTCACCTAAAATCATACACTCTATAAGATATATAGTACAAACTATGTATAAGGGCATATACTTTATACAGCTGTATGTAATATTTATATCTATGTAATCTATATCTATCTATCATAGCTATATCTATAGTATAGATGCTTGTTATTGAAATTTAATTTAATTAAATTATATGAGTATCTTCTGTTGAAAATATTTTCTCATCTTCTGATCTCCTGTTTAATTTCTGAGCTTCTACTCCTTTTTAGTCACACACACACACACACACACACAAACAACACACACACACAAACACACACACACAAACACACACACACTCCATGTTCAAATCTATCTATCTATCTATCTATCTATCTATCTATCTATCTATCTATCTACTATCTAATCAAGTAACTTAAGCTACTTAGGGGCCACAAATTTACAAAAATCTCAGTACCAGTCACAAGAAATGTTCTCCCCCCCAATATTCTTGGTTTCTTTTCAAAAACACATGTTGTAAAGGAAAGAAATGAATATCTAACTAGAAACAAAACCATAAACATGACACAATTATAGACAGTAATACAAAAAGTTACTCATGGACGTGCACATATTGTGTTCTATGAAATGCCTGAGTTAATGTACAGCAAAGAATAAAGAACTGGGTTCACAGCCTCAAACAGTCTACATCCATTGCTAAATACATAGATTACTAAATACAATTTGAACATGTGAGAAATAAAAGACTTCATTTTAGAAATGTTCTTTAATCTCTTTTCTTTCTTTCTTTCTTTCTTTCTTTCTTTCTTTCTTTCTTTCTTTCTTTTGTTCTTTCATTCTTTTGTTCTTTCATTCTTTCGTTCTTTCTGTATTATCTTTAATCTTTTCATACAGTCTAGCAGTTATCCCACTCTTGGTTCGCTCGCCAACAGTTCCTCATCCCATTCCTCCTACCCTGTCTCCAAGAGGATGTCCCCCCAACCCCTACAACTCTATCCCCACAGGCCTTCTCACTTTCTGGGGCCTCAAGTCTCTCAAGGGTTAGGGGCCTCTTCTCTCATTGTGGTGAGACCAGGCAGGCCTCTGATGTTTATGTGTCTGGGCCTCATACCAGCTAGTGTATGCTGCCTGGTTGGTGGCTCAGTGTCTGAGCGATCTCGAGAGTCCAGCTTAGTTGAGGCTGCTGGTTTCCTATGGGATTGCCCTCCTCCTCATCTTCTTCCAGCCTTTCCCTAATTCAACCACAGGGGTCCCTGACTTCAGTCTATTGCTTGGGTGTAAGTATCTGCATCTGTCTCAATCAGCTGCCTTTGGGCCTCTTGGAGGGCTGCCATGCTAGGTTCCTGTCTATAAGTACACCATAGTATCAGTAATAGTGTCAGGCTTTGGAACCTCCCCTTGAGATCGATCCCAATTTGGGCAAGTCACTGGACCATCTTTTCCTCACTCTCTTCTCCATTTTTGTTCCTGGAGTTCTTTTAGAACAGAACAATTCTGGGTCAGAGGTTTTGATTGTGGGATAGAAGCCCCATCCCTCTACTTGATTTTTCTGTCTTTCAATTGGAGGTGGACTCAACAAGGTCCCTCTTTTCACTGGTGGGCATTTCATATATGATCCCTCCCAGGTACATTCTAGAGGGTCACCCCACCTCTCACCCTCTGAGATTGTATATTTTCATTAATTTTGCTGGCCTCTGAGGTAGAAATGTTCTTTTGAATGGTTGCTTAAGGCAGTCCAAGTGACTCTCAGAACAACATGGATTATCTCTCAGGATTGCTTCTCAGGATTGTAGGTGGGCCAGTCTTGCTGAGGATACCACATAACTTAGAATACAAGCTTCAGACGATATGAGCTTCAATGGATCAGAAAATAATATGCAAGCCCCCATGGGAGAGGGGGATGTGATTAAGCAGACCTACCAGGCTGCAACATTTCTTATCCCACAGTAATTACCAGTGTGACAATATATTCATAAAAGTGCAGTAGGTAGCACTCTCTGTCAGTGACAAGCAATGGGTGTCTAATTTAAGGCACATTAAACAGGAGGTAAGAGATGTACTGTCTAGGTACTAAAAATCTAGCCAGGTTTTGGTTGCTAGTGAGGTCATGGACCTTAGAAAAGATTCTAGTACTGCCATTTGCTAGTGTAGCGTGATTATTACATTCTAATGCTTATCCTTACACTCGCAGATATGTGTAGCTACCATCCCTCAATGAAGAAGCCTATGAAGAATTTTTTAATGAGATTGCTTCCCTTATTTCTTCTGAAGCACGTTTGTTATTAAAAAACAAAGGAAAGGCCCAGTTCTTTTAAACTCATCTACAAAACACTTCTGAAGGCTGGTGAGATGCCTCAGTGGAGGTCTGGAGTTCAATTCCCAGTAACCGTATGAAGACTCATGACCATCTATAAAAGTATCGGTGCCCTCTTCTGGCATAGAGGTGTATAAGCAGACAGAGCACTCATACTATAAACAAAACAAAACTAACAAAACAAATCAAAACAAAACAGTCCTGCACCTAAGAGTCAGGAACCATTGCCGAAGGAGTGGAAAGACTATAAGAACCAGAGGATCAGACATTTTGCTGTGAGATTGTGTATCCAAGTAATATTAGAAGATACATCTATAGAGTGTCACAAATATGACTGCGCAAATGTGAACCAACAGGGATGACACTAATGGACATGCCAAATTGGACAGAGAGAAGCTCGTGAAGCCACAACCCTACATAAAAAACTATAGGCAATCGAGGAAAGCTAGGAATGGGAGATCTGGCTTTGCCCAGGGAAGAGCACAGATCAATTGGTTGTCTGGTGCCAAATGGTCAGCCCTGAAGACATAATTACAGGTGGCATTCTGTTTAAAACAGAAATGTATTCAAAATAATCTGTATATTCTGTGATTTGTAGTACATATATTATTTTAGCTGATATATAGTTTTGGTCATCAAAGTGGTCCTTAAAATGATATTTATGAAAACTTAGAATCATTTTTCTCAGATCAAGAGAATCAAGGCTGACCATTGGACAGATTCAAAGAGAATAATAGATAATAGTCCGATTTGTTTTAAAATTAGGTGG